GTTGACTGTGGCCGAGGACCCGGGACTTGGGAGGGGCGGGTGCATTCAGGGATCTTAAGGATGTTCGCGGTTCGGTCGCATCGGCTGCGTCGCAGTCGGTTGCGTTCGGTCGGTTCGGCTCGGTCAGTTGCTGTGCCGTCGCTGCGTCGCTTCGCCCTTCTGGGCTGCCTGCGGCCTGTCGGCTTCGGTCGGCTCCCGTTTCGCTGCCGGCTCGGCGGGCATTCGGTGGTGCTGTCGCCGTCGGCGGCTCTCCGGATGTGGGCGGGGCAGGTGCGGCGCACGGGTTCTCTGCCCCACCGGCGATACAGTCGGGGCCCTGAAGAAGGAACCCTTTTCGTTGGGGAGGGGCTCCGTGTTCCTTAATTGTCTCGCAGCTTGCCTTGGATGTTCCTTAGGTTTTCGATGCGAGATCGAAGTTCAACTTATGGAAAATAGGGGCCTCGTTCCTTATTTAGGGTTCCTTAGGTCAACGCCTCGACTGTATGTCTTTGTTCAGTGCGCGGCCCCGCAGGCGCCGACCCCTTCCTCGGGGGCAGGTCTTCGCCCACGGTCCTTGCTTGATGGCCGCGGGGCCCTGGGCCAAAGTCAAGGAACACCTGCCAGACTGAACAAAACGAGATCGTGGAACATCGGGGCCCGCAGGCCGGAGGTTGCAGCATCGAAAAAAACACGCGATCGAAGCACTGGACCCCATCTCTCCGGGACATGTTCGAGCCAGATCGATACCGTGGTTTTCGAAACAAGCGCCCACCCGTAGTTCTCGTTGAAGCGCGTCCAACCCCGGGCCCCAATTTCAAAGTTGGGGGTGTTCGACGCCGGGGAGTGCGAATCGTTTCGAGAGAAACGCCCACTTTTGCAAAACGCTTCCTGCGCGACGGGATGAACACTGAAATTGGGGGCGTGGGGGCGAGCTTGTGCCGCCCCTTGGACGTTGCCGATGGGAGTGTTTTTTCGAAAACACGAAGGATTGCAAACAAAAGCGAAGGATTGCAAACAAAAACCTGGGTTGCAAGAAAACCTTGGGTGTTTTTTTTTTTGCAATCAAACGAGGTTTTTTTTGTTTTTTTTTTTTTTTTTGCAATCCTGGGTTTTTTTTTTTTGCAATCCTTCGTTGTTTTTTTTTTGCAATCCTTCGTGTGTATGGTCCGGGGGCCCGAAGCCGGGCGACGGTGCCCCGCGCGGGAGCACTGCGGCGCCCGGGCCCTCAGGGGGGTGCGGCGCGCGGATGTTTCTCTCTGCCCCGGGGGGCGCGGGGGAAGCCGGGCCCCACGAGGGCGGCGGCGGCGCGACGGAGCGCTCGTTGTCCGTTTGGAGCAGGGCTCGTTGTCGGCGTCGCCGCGGGCGCTGTCCATGTGAGGCAAAACCCGCTGCAGGAACATATACAGTGGGGGCGCGCATCAAGAAACCATCTGCTCTTCGTCAGGGTACCCTGGGTTTCTTTGCTCCGCGCGCTGCGCGGTGGCTTCTCGTGGCCGTGGAAGGAGCTGCTGCGCTCGGGTTGCTCTGGGCTCCCCTTGATTTGCACCTCGCGCCTGCGGGTTTCAGGGCTGGGTTTCTTGCGAGGGTTTCTTGCGGCCGCGCCCGCACTGTACACAGACGCCCTCTAATGGACTTTTCCTGGGCCTCGGTGGAGGGCGACGGTGCATACATCACCGCTGGGAGTCAGCGACTTTATACACCGCCGCCCTCCCTGAAGGTACGTGCAAAGTTCGTCGGAGAGTGTCTGTGTATATACGTAGCACCCCGCAGATGCGGATAAGAGTGAGGGAGCGGTGGGGACGTCGGCAGTTTGCGAGACGCTGGAGAAGCCCGCCGCAGGCGCCAAAGTTTCACAAATTATACAACGAGCCCGCCGCAGGTGCCGATTTTTTCGTTAAACCAATGTGGGTGGGTTGCGGGCGGGTCGCAAATGGGTCGCGGGTGGGTCGCGGGTGTAGAGGGCAGAAAATCCACCCCATAACAATCACCCCGACAAGCGAAGCCGTTTAGTAAACGCACACAAGGAATGAATCGAACAGGGAAGGCTGTTTAGTAAACGCCCAAGGCCGTTTAGTAAACGTCAATTGTCGGGTCCAGGTCGTTTTTCCTCCCTTGAGGGTGGGTCGCGGGGTGGGTCGCGGGTGGGTCGCGGGGTGGGTCGCGGGTGGGTCGCGGGGTGGGTCGCGGGTGGGTCGCGGGTGGGTCGCGGGTGGGTCGCGGGGTGGGTCGCGAGTGGGTCGCGGGTGGGTCGCGGGGTGGATCGCGGGATGGGTCGCGGGGTGGGTTGCGGGGTGGGTTGCGGGGTGGCTCGCGGGGTGGGTCGCGGGTGGGTCGCGGGTGGGACGACGACAACGAACAACAACAACAACAACAGCAGCAATCATTTTACCCGAACGCGTGGTGTTCTCCCCAGTGCCAGGGTTTTCATACGACACCAGGCAATACCCCCACTTCGTGGGGGGGCATTACAAGCTCTACCAAATATCCAAACGACTCTTCGCGACCACCCAAACCCAGCTTCCCGCCCTATGACGTTGGGACACTTCACTTCGTGGCGTGCGGACGACCGTGGCTACTACACTGGCGTGGGGTACACACCCACAGAACTTGGTCACTTATTCGGGGCGCGCATGTGCCCAGCATGGTGCAATTGTGCCATGCTGGGCACATGCGCGGATGGTATTATTTGACAGGGATGATGGCCCTGGCAGGTGCGCAACCGTTGTCGCAGAAGTTCGAAAAAGTTGCTCGCAAAAGCCCGTTTGACAGAAATGTTTAAAAAGTGTTGGTTTTCCTACGAATCCGCAAGAGCGCGCGGGATGAGATTTTGACATTTTTTTGTTGAAAAACCATTGGTTTTTTGATGTTTTTATGTTAAAATCGCTCCGAACACTAAGCTTTTGGAAGGATTTCGTCTTGCGCGCGCGAATGTCCACTTTACCTTATTTTTTGCAAGGGATTCTTGAAATTTGATTATATTAGAACAAGAAATGTCATTTTATAGTGTTTTTTGCAAGGGAAAACGGATTACAACAAAACAACCGGATCTTGATCACATCGTATTACCTGAGGCTTCCTCACGAAAATGATGAAAATGTAGCTGCGGCCTAGGCGGCGCAGGGGGGCCGTGCACCAGGGGTCCCAACAATAATTATTCTTTAGAATTAATAATGTTCAACAACAACAACAGCAGCAGCAACAACAACAAGCATTCTAAGATTGTTCGCTCTTACTTGCCCGCGTGTCATTCAAAACGAGTTCCCCACACCCTCGATACCCGCCCTTTTTTGTCTTCGATCACACCCCCGTGGGGGGGATTCTTTCTCTTTGCGGGGGGCGGCGGGCTTAGACAGGCGGGCAAACCTGAACGGGCGGACAATCCTCCGTGGGCGTACATGTGCCCGCCATTGGAATTGGTGTGGGCCTTGCGAAAAGAGGACGGGGAGAACGAGGGAGAGTGGGAGGAAGGGAGGGGGAGTGACGAAGGACGAGGGGAAACGCCAGGAGAAAAGGAGCGAAGAGGGGGGCGGTTGATTAGAGCCAGAGGGAGAGAGAGAGAGAGAGAGAGAAAAAAATAAATAAAGAAAGACAGATAAGAGAGGTAGAGAGAAGGACAGATAGAGAGAGAGGGGAGATGCATAGAGAGAGAGAGAGAGAGAGAAAAGAAAGAGAGAAAGAGAGAGACAGATAACTAAAACACAGTGAGGGAGGAGGCAGAGAGATATAGAGAGAGGGGAGAGAGAGAGAGAGAGAGAGAGAAAATAAAAAAAAGGAGGGAGGAGGCAGGAGAGGGGAGGGAGAAGGGAGGAGGGAGAGGAGGGAGAGGGGACAGGGCAGAGAGGCATACTGATGAGGGAAGAGAGGAGGGAGAGAGAAGGGAGGAGGGGAAGGAGGAGGGAGGAGGGAGAGGGAGGAGGAGCAGGAAGGTAAGAGCGTGAACGTTCGAGGAAGTCCTAGTCGGGAGCCCACGACGGGCGGGCGATCCCCTCACGGGCGGGTCGGGCGGGTGCGACATTCAAACGGGATGCCTGAGCATGGCGAGAGCGCGATTACTAAGTAAACTGTAGCGGCGTCCTTGGCGCAGCGTGTTTCCTGAGCGTCGAAAGCGCGATTTCTGAATCAATCACATGGAAGTCACAAGCGAGAGCGCAACTCGTGAATAAAGTGTGAAGGGTTTTCTGGCGGGAGCGGGGGTCTTGATTACATTGCGAGGAAGTCTTGATTCAGTTGCGAGGAAGTCTCAAGCGGGAGCGCCGTTCCTGAGTAAATTGTGAGGAAATCTCAGATGGGAACGGGGGTCCTGATTAAATTGCAAGGAAGTCACCGGCGGGAGCACCGATCCTGAGTAAATTGTGAGGAGGTCTCAGGAGCGGGTGTCCTGAGTAAATTTGGAGGAAGCTCAGGCGGGAGCCGTTCTTGTTGCAATCCGGGGGGCCAGGGGCCCAGTTTGAGCACCAAGGCTTTCCCTGTCAATGACAGGGTGTGAGCGTCGAGGGGCACACTTTGATGGAGAAAAACAGTATGCACCGGTGAGGGGGGATCAGCAATAATTAATTATTTGTCAGAACTGAGAGTTCAACAACAACAACAACAACAACAACAACAACAACAACACCAACAACAACAACAGCAACAACAACAACAACAACAACAACAACTACAACAACCACAACCACAATCACAACCACGACCACAACCACAACCACAACCACAACCACAATCACAACCACAACCACAACCACAATCACAACAACAACAACAATAACAACAACAACAACAACAACAACAACAACAACAACAACAGCAACAACAACAACAACAACAACAACGCAACAAGCCGAACTCTCACCACGGATTCCCTATTCAGCCACGCACCCAGGGACAGTGAGTGACCGCTCCGCCCCGTCACCCTGATCTTCGTGGCGGAGAGACGGCCGCCCGCCAAGCAGCGGCCGCTGTCGGCTTTGGGCAGAGGCAGCCGTCGAGCCCTTTGCTGCCCATTCGGGGCACTCGGCTCCGAGGGCGGCGGCGGCGCGGCCGAGTACCTGGCCGAGCACCTCGCGCTGGGGCGCGAGCCCGCCGCGCCGTGGCCGACCTGCGGCTCGCGCGGGCTCTTCGTCGTGTTCGAGGGCCTGGACCGCCGCGCCGCCGAATCGCTCCCCGTCCCCACCGGGCCGGGGTAGCTCCGCCCCGCCAGCCCACCCCCTCCTCCCTCCTCCTCCCTCCCCCTCCTCCTCCTCCTCCTCCTCCTCCTCCCCCTCCTCTTCCTCCTCCTCCTCCTCCTCCCCCTCCTCTTCCTCCTCCTCCTCCTCCTCCTCCTCCTCCTCCTCCTCCTCCTCCTCATCTATGCATTTTTTGTTTGGGCTGGGGACCCCTCCCCCCAGCGCCCCCCCCACCCTCAGCGAATTTCGCCTCCTCGGGCCTGTCTTGCGCCTTGCTGTGGCCGTCCTGTGGTCGTCTTGACGCCCCCCGGGTCAGAGCGATAGTGTACAAGGGAGAAGGCCGAAAACATAGTTTTTTACTGCATTTTCTTTGCTTTCCCCACTCTCAGGGCCCTGTTGCGCCAGCCTTGGGCATCTTTGGGGCTCGTCTGGGGCCTCATCTGGAGCCGTCTTGGAGGCATCTGGACGCTTAAAGAGCCACTCGGAAGCGACAAGGCGAGAAGACCAAAAACCTCGCTTTTCCAATGATTGTCCTACATTTGTCCATCTCTGGGCCCCCCCCTCCGGGCCCTATAGGGACGGGAAGCGCCCCCCCCCCGCCCTCCCCCAAAAGACTTTCGAATCCTCGGGCCTGTCTTGCGCCTCCCTGTGGCCGTCCTGGGGTCGTCTGGACGCCCCCCCAGTCAACCGGAAATGAAAAAGCGGGAAGGCCGAAAACATTGTTTTTTATTACGTTTTCTTTGCTTTTCCCACTCTCTGGGCCCTGTTGCGCCATCCTTGGACCTCTTTGGGGCTCGTCAGGGGAGTCAGTTGGAAACGTCTTGGACCTGTCTCGACGCCTCAAGAGCCACTCGGAAGCGACAAGGCGAGAAGGCCAAAAACCTCGCTTTTCCAATGATGTTCTTACATTTGTCCATTCTTGGGCCCAACTTTAAGTCGGGCGTGTCCCCCTACAGGGGGATTTTCGACGAAAAATAAAGAATACCAAAAAAATAGTCCAAAAATAGTCCGGGGACTATTTTTTTAGTATTTTGTTGAGTTTTGTAGGGTATTTTTGGTGTATTTTTTATTTTTCGTCGAAAATCCTCCTTTAGGGGGACAGGCCCGACTTAAGCCCAACTTTCCGGGCCGAGTTGCTCCATCTCCGGGCTCTGTTGCGCCAGCCTTGGGCCTCTTCGGGGCTCGCCTGGGGCCTCATTTGGAGACGTCTTGGAGCTGCCTGGACGCCTCAAGACCTGATCGGAAGCGACAAGGCGAGAAGACCAAAAACCTTGCTTTTCCAATGTTTTTCCTAAATTTGTCCGTCCTTGGGCCCCACTCTCCGGGCCCAGTTGCGCCAGCCTTGGGTCTCTTAGGGGCTCGTCTGGGGACTCATCTGGAGCCGTCTTGGAGGCATCTAGACGCCCCAAAAGACGATCGGAAAAGAAAAGGGAGAGGAAAAGAAAAGGGAGAGGAGAAGGAAGCGGAATGAGGTAAAGGAAGGAAGAGCAGAAAGAGCATGAAGATGATGAGGAGAAAGGGGAGGAGGAGGAGGAGGAGGATGCCCTGCTTCATGCTAATTACCCCAACCAGTCGCCTGAGACTTACTCGCGCCTGAGCTGGCCACAGCTGGCGTTGTCAAGTCGCTCCCGCTTAGGAGATCCTGACCCACTCCGACTTAGCGCTGGCTGGCCCCGCGTCCACGCGCGCGCACGCCGCCTGCATTCGAACTCACAAGGAGCAAGGTGCATGGCGCGAAGCGCCAATTCAGTCTTATAAATTCATATATGTAATTTTGATTTGCTGGTTGATTCATCTATGTGTTATTCATGCGCACCTCTCCGAGGGAGCACCGCTCAGAGGCGATTGCTTGGATCCGTCCCGTTATCGATCTTTCTTGCAGTTTCGTTCGGGACATCCCCAACGTTCTGAAATTTGATCGCGCCCCTCATGCAGATCGCGACGTCAGGGTCCAAATGCACTACCTTGAAGCACATCACGTGTTTCAAGGATTTAGGGCGTCGCTTTTAGACAAAAACTGCATTTTCGCGCGAAACCTCCCTCCACAATTGAAACTCGGCGTATTCAACGTTGTCCTCATATGATTCAAAACGAAAGTTTCGTTCGAGCAATCCTCCAATAGTCGGCGTCGGAGCTTCTTTCTAGCTGAAACGGCAAGGTGGAATACCGTCCTACGCCGCACACATCGCAACATTTTGCAACCCAACATGCGTTCGACTGCGATCCCGCTTTTGCACCTCCTTCCCAACAGCCCCCTGGTGATCCTCATTATCCTCCTTCTCTCCTTGTTACTCCGCTTCTCCAACTTTTTCCTCCAGTGCTGGTGTTGTGGGTTTACCCTCAAGAGGTCCCTCCCCCCGAGAGCCCGATCGCCAGGTTAGGTCTCAACCACACTCCACATGCACAAGTCGTGGAGGCCACCGTGATTTCTTTCCACATGTATAATATCGTACGTGTCTCGCCGCCGTCCCCCCCCCCCCACTGAGGAGGAGTGGAATGGCCATCTTTACGGAATTCGCCGAACAGCTATGGCTCTCGCCGATCTCTCTCGTGCGCCCGCCTAGGCCCGACTCTGGAGGACCTTGAGAGCGCCCCTTGGGTACGAGCGATGCATACATACATGCATACGTGTATACACATATAACGGCGCACCGGGTCCGGGGGCCCGGGGCCGGGACCCCGACCACAAATGTGCGCCCCGGGGGGCCCGGAGGCTCGTCGGGGCTTGCCGGAGGCCTCCCCAGTCAGACAAGACGGCCCAAGAAGCGCCCAAGACGGCCCAAGAAACTTCCAAGAGGCCTCCAAGAGGGCTCCGAGATGCTGAAGATGGCCTCCAGACGTCCAAGGACGCCCCCAAGAGGCCCCAAGAAGCCTCCAACATGCGTCCCAAGAGGGCCCCTAGACGCAAAAATTGGCCCATTCCCTTCGTAAAACGTACATTTTCAACAAAGTTGTCTTTTGGGCTTTCCGACGTTACAGGACGGCCCAAGAGGCGCCCAAGACCGCCCCAAGACGGCCCAAGAAGCTTCCAAGAGGGCCCCAGGACAGCCCAAGAGGGCCCCAAGACGGCCCAAGAGGCGCCCAAGATGGCCCAAGAGGGCCCCAAGACGGGCCCAAGAGGGGGCCCAGAGGGGGACCACGAACCGCAAGCTCGAGCCTTCCGCCCCAAGAGGCCGCCAGGAGGCCCCCAGGAGGCCCCTCAAGAGGCCCCAGGAGACCCCAGACGTCCAAGGACGCCCCCAAGAGGCTCCAAGAAGCCTCCAACATGCGTCCCAAGAGGGCCCCTAGACGCAAGAATTGGCCCATTCCCTTCGTAAAACGTACATTTTTAACAAAGTCGCCTTTTGGGCTTTCCGACGTTACAGGACGGCCCAAGAGGCGCCCAAGACCGCCCCAAGACGGCCCAAGAAGTTTCCCAGAGGGCCCCAGGACAGCCCAAGAGGGCCCCAAGACGGCCCAAGAGGCGCCCAAGATGGCCCAAGAGGGCCCCAAGACGGGCCCAAGAGGGGGCCCAGAGGGGGACCACGAACCGCAAGCTCGAGCCTTCCGCCCCAAGAGGCCGCCAGGAGGCCCCCAGGAGGCCCCTCAAGAGGCCCCAGGAGACCCCAGACGTCCAAGGACGCCCCCAAGAGGCCCCAAGAAGCCTCCAACATGCGTCCCAAGAGGGCCCCTAGACGCAAAAATTGGCCCATTCCCTTCGTAAAACGTACATTTTCAACAAAGTTGTCTTTTGGGCTTTCCGACGTTACAGGACGGCCCAAGAGGCGCCCAAGACCGCCCCAAGACGGCCCAAGAAGCTTCCAAGAGGGCCCCAGGACAGCCCAAGAGGGCCCCAAGACGGCCCAAGAGGCGCCCAAGATGGCCCAAGAGGGCCCCAAGACGGGCCCAAGAGGGGGCCCAGAGGGGGACCACGAACCGCAAGCTCGAGCCTTCCGCCCCAAGAGGCCGCCAGGAGGCCCCCAGGAGGCCCCTCAAGAGGCCCCAGGAGACCCCAGACGTCCAAGGACGCCCCCAAGAGGCCCCAAGAAGCCTCCAACATGCGTCCCAAGAGGGCCCCTAGACGCAAAAATTGGCCCATTCCCTTCGTAAAACGTACATTTTCAACCAAGTCGCCTTTGGGCTTTCCGACGTTACAGGACGGCCCAAGAGGCGCCCAAGACCGCCCCAAGACGGCCCAAGAAGCTTCCAAGAGGGCCCCAGGACAGCCCAAGAGGGCCCCAAGACGGCCCAAGAGGCGCCCAAGATGGCCCAAGAGGGCCCCAAGACGGGCCCAAGAGGGGGCCCAGAGGGGGACCACGAACCGCAAGCTCGAGCCTTCCGCCCCAAGAGGCCGCCAGGAGGCCCCCAGGAGGCCCCTCAAGAGGCCCCAGGAGACCCCAGACGTCCAAGGACGCCCCCAAGACGCTTCGCGTCACCAATTTCTTCTCGCAACGATTCCTGGGTCTGTGACTCGACAGAACCTAAGCGCGCGCGAAGCGCGCGCGTGGTTCTAGTATATATATATATATATATATATATATGCGTCCTCATCTAGGAGGGTAGATCGGTCAGTGAGGTCAATGCCGTGCCAGCGTGGACGGGGATCTGTTGAACAATGCTGAGGACCGCAGCGGCAAGTCGACGCACAGCAAGCTCTTGGCAGAGCACCTCGGGAGCGAGGCGCCAGTAAGGTCGGGGAGGCTGACAAGGCGACGATGTGATTGTTTCAGTCTGAGCTTTTCTCGTAGATTTCGGCCTCCAGGGCCCGTTTTCGGGCCCTGGGGCAGTCAAAAGTGAATCCGGGGCGAAATATTTGCCCCAAGGAAGGGCTCGATACATACGGGTCCGCAACGTTCTGGCAAGTTTGCTTGCGCCGCATTTGCCCCCCCCCTTCTTCCCCCTTCGCCGCCATTTCAATCAGCGCTGGGCCGAGAAGGCGTGCAAGTGAGTCCAGGCTTGCGTGATGCTTAATTTTTTGCGTCAGGCCTCGCCACGGCCTCCACTCCATGCAGGGAAATCTGCCAGAATCGAACGAACAACTGTTGAGAGTTGACGCATAGCAGGCTCCTCGCAGAGCACTTCGTGAGCGAAGCGCCAGTAACGTCAGGGAGCCCCCGAGAGCTGGGCGTTGTAACTTTTTCGCGCTGGGTGTTCTCGTCCAGTTTCGGGTTCTGGGGCCATCACAGATCGGTCTTGCTTGAACAACGCCTCAGACATATGGGCTCCAGGGCTCCAGTCGTGACTCTTCGCGACGCTGCAGCTCTTTGGCGGCGTCGGATCTCAGGGCGTCAGGCAAGCGTGTTGTCTGCCCCCCTCCTGCCCCTCCCCTCCGAAGCACCCCCTATCGATCCCCTCCCCCCCGGTTCCTGCGTTCGGCGCTCCCTGCAGGTGGATGTGCTTCCCGGACCGATCCTCTCCGATCGGGAGCCTCCTGGACCTCTACCTGCGGAAGCAAGCCAGCCTTTCCATCTCGGCGGTCCACCTGTTATTCTCTGCCAACCGCTGGGAGCAGGCGGCCTCGATCGCCGAAGACCTGAACAGCGGGACGCACGTAATCTGCGACAGGTGCCCACGAGTCCAGACATGATACAGACGCTGACACGACCAGACATATAGATACAACCGACGACGCAAACGGCGAACCACCGCCGTCCCCCCCGCATTTTCGAAAGTGCCTCTGTGGCCAAACGTTGGGCCAAAGTCTTGCCAAGCTATTGGATGATGTGTTTCCCGAACCGTTGTGGGACCCATTGGGGGAAACCTTCGGGAAGGAAGAGGCATCAGAGGAGGAGGAGGAGGGAGGAGAAGGCGAAGGCGGCCCATGAGGCCCTCAAGGGGGCCAGAAGACGCTTTTCATATGAATTCTTACCATGCCAGCCACACCGGGTTCCCTCCCCCTTGTCATCCTTGACAGCTAATATTGTGCGCGCACTCGTTTATCAAGAGTCATCCATTTGCAAGAACGCGCGCGGCGTCGCGCGCGCATGCCGAAATCATTTAATAGCCTTAGGTCTCGCAAGGATTTCAAGATCAACGTTCCCGAGAACATATGGAAAACAAACCATGGTTTGCCAATATGGTTGTTCAAAACAGTTTGCGTGCGTCTTGCGAAATCCGAAGAACCATTGATTTTCAAAGTTTTCATCACACAAGACCACGCGGGCCACTCGCGCCTGTCGGCCGCGCGCGCATAACGAAATCCTTCCAAAACCTTCATCACCGACGCGTGGACACCATCATCGTCATTGGCGTGACCACCATCGGTGCCGTCATTGGCCCTGCCGTCGTTAGCGCCATCATCGTTACCAGCATCGCTGTTATCATCATCGTGTCTGCCGTTGCCGACGTCGCCGTGATACCGAGCCCGCCCGAGTCACCGACTCGCACTGAAGTGTCCGCGCGTTAGCGCGACCTGCGAGACGCGCTGGGAAGTCGCCAGTGGTCAGCGCCACCGCGGCCGCTTCGGTCGCGCCAGGGTAGCTGGCTGCCGAGCCTGCGCGCGCAAACGTGGCCGCAGCGATACGCCAGCCAGCGCCAAGAAGTCATCGCAATCGCCGCCGCATTGGTTTTGCAATCAAAGTTGCGGGTGGGTAGGTGGGATGATTGCGCGAGCAGCGGAATTGACAGTTTCAAGTTCGGCAGGGTGACCTCCATAACATAGAGTACACCACATAAGCTGTTCCACATAGATTGCACAGCATGTATTGCTAGAAACACACTGACCGGGGCCCACGCTGGCTAACGCCCACGCACATGCATGCATGCATGCATACAGACAGACAAACAGGCAGACAAGCAGACAGATAGACATACATACGCGCACACCTGCACCCACACCTATACACATGAATCCATGAATGCATACATACATGCATACACACATCCATACACACATGCATACACAAACATACGGTCATACGTACATACATACGTGCATACATGCACACACCCATTCAGTCGCACATGTATATACGCATACGTACATACACACATGCAAACATACATACAGTCACACAGGCATGCATACATACATACATACGTACGTACGTACATACATACATACATACACACATACATACACACATACATTTATACATACATACATACATACATACATACATACATACATACATACATACATACATACATACAAACATACATACATACATACATACATACATACATACATACATACATACATACATACATACATACATACATACTCATATGTATATAGATATAACCAATGGTGTGAGCTTCCTGGAGGTCTGATGGATGTTCCCTTGGAGCCATTTGGAGCGTCACAGGGGCGTCTCGGACCATCTTGATGCCATGTGGGGCGGTCTTAGGTCCATCTTAGGTCGCGTTGGAGGCATCTTGGGGCCATATTTGGCCCTCTGTGGGCCATTTGCGCCATGTTGGCCGTCTGGGAGGCATCCTGGGACCATATTGGAGGCCGTGCTGGGCCATCGTAAAGCCATCTTGAACGGAAAAGCCCACAGGATATGCGGGTGCAGGGTTCCGCCGAGACCCCACCCGATGGGAACCTTCAAGGGTTCAAACGGCTATCAACCAGCAAGGCAACAACCCTTCTTGCAGGCAACAGGGGGCGGCGGATTGACTGGCGGCCTTCGGCTCGTGCGCGAGGGGTGTTCGTTCCAAGTAGGGCCTCTTGGCAGGCCTCGCCCTCTTGGGGGCTTCTTTTCGCAGGCCTAGAGGTTGACACCAACACTAATATCGGCGGTGTTCCTCCACCGTGGGAAGAGGATCCCGATCTCGGCGACCAGGTCCCCAGGAGGGATCCACAAGCAGCTCCCCTGGGGGCCGTCGTAGGGCATGATGAAAGGCAGGACTCCGAGCCGCGCTTTCGAGGCCTCGGACGAGCCACGACCCAAGCCCAAGAAGCGCCAAAGAGCGCCCGAGAATTCCCTGGCAATCCAGGGCCTAGGACCCTGAAAGAGCTTCGGGCCTACAGTGCCGTTTTTAATACATGCTTCGCGAGCGGATCATGTATTTAAAATGCAGGGATGTAGTCTTAAAAACAGCGATGAGTTCATGCATAAATCTGTTCATAGATTAAGCATGTATTAAAATTCCAATGTTGTTTTTTTAAAGAACAAAATCCTATGTATTAAAAAGTGCCCTGTAGGGCCCCGAAAGAGCATCTCCAAGCTGCCGCAGTGCAGAGACTTCGAGGGTGCCCGAGGGCACCCCACTCCGTGCGCCGCGGCACGGCGGCGGGGCGGACACGTTTTGGGGGTGTGAAGCGGGGCGCGGCTCCTGACGGGTCGCGTTCCATTGATGAGCTCCTCACCGGGCGCGCTCCACTGCTCGCAGAGTGCCCACTCGCAAGCCTCCAAGAAACCTTGCGTCCGCCTTCATGTCATGTGCCGCACTCCCCCGCGGCGGATCCAGGCCGTGTGCGGGCAGTGACTTCGGAAGCAGTGGAACGCGCTCGTCTACAGGTATGCCTTCTCCGGAGCGGCGTACTCCATCGCGAACGGGCTGGACCTGGGCTTCTGCCAGGCGCCGGACCGGGGCCTGCCGGCCCCCGACCTGGTGTGCTTCATGCGGGTCTGCCCGGAGGAGGCCGCACAGCGGGAGGACCTGCGGGCTCAGCAACAACGTGCTGTGCGTACTGCCCTAGATTTATGTCGGGCGTGTCCCCCTACAGGGAGATGTTCGACGACAAATTTAAAAACCCTTTCCAAATGCAAAAAAAATGCTGAACAATACTGAAAAAATAGTCCCCAGACTATTTTTGGATTATTCCCAACCATCCTGTGGTGTTGGGTCCTCGTTTTGAAGAGACGGTGCCCCGCGTCTCCTTCCTCCTCTCCTCCTCCGCCTCCTCTCCCCTCCTATCATCCTCATCGTCATCATCATCATCATCATCATCATCGTCATCATCATCATTATCATCATCATTATCATCATCATCGTCATCAGCATCAACATCATGGCCGCCATCATAACCATCATCGTCATCATCACCATCATCGTCGTCATCACCATCATCGTTGTCCTCGTCGCCATCATCGCACGTTTCGTGGCCCCATACGGAGCTCCACCGAAGGTCCCAGTGGGTGTGCCCGCATGCGTCCCGCACACCCATTTTGGCACACCCCTCACACGTTTCGTGGCCCCATAGGGAGCTCCACCTAAGGTCCAAGTGGCGCAGCTCGCATGGCGCCACCGCCCCATTTTGGCACACCCCTCACACGTTTCGTGGCCCCATAGGGAGCTCCATCTACGGTCCAAGTGGCGCAGCTCGCATGGCGCCACCGCCCCATTTTGGCACACCCCTCACACGTTTCGTGGCCCCATAGGGAGCTCCATCTACGGTCCAAGTGGCGCAGCTCGCATGGCGCCACCGCCCCATTTTGGCACACCCCTCACACGTTTCGTGGCCCCATAGGGAGTTCCATCTACGGTCCAAGTGGCGCAGCTCGCATGGCGCCACCGCCCCATTTTGGCACACCCCTCACACGTTTCGTGGCCCCATAGGGAGCTCCATCTACGGTCCAAGTGGCGCAGCTCGCATGGCGCCACCGCCCCATTTTGGCACACCCCTCACAGATTTCGTGGCCCCTCAGGGAGCTCCTTTTGGCACACCCCTCACACGTTTCGTGGCCCCATAGGGAGCTCCACCTAAGGTCCACGTGGCGCAGCTCGCATGGCGCCACCGCCCCTTTTTGGCACACCCCTCACACGTTTCGTGGCCCCATAGGGAGCTCCATTTACGGTCCAAGTGGCGCAGCTCGCATGGCGCCACCGCCCCATTTTGGCACACCCCTCACAGATTTCGTGGCCCCTCAGGGAGCTCCATCTACGGTCCAAGTGGCGCAGCTCGCATGGCGCCACCGCCCCATTATGGCACACCCCTCACACGTTTCGTGGCCCCTCAGGGAGCTGCACCTAAGGTCCCAGTGGTGCAGCTCGCATGGCACCCCTTCACACGTTTCGTGGCCCCACAGGGAGCTCAGGTGTGATCCTGGACTGCGGCCGCCACGAGGTCGGGAACGGCAAGAAGGAGGACGACGACTGGTGGCTGGAGCTCTATGTGCTGCTTCTCGCGCGCCACGCGCCACGAGGACCTCCTGCTCATGCGGGCGCCGCGCATCGAGTTCTTCCTGGCAGGACCGCCGGAGGGCCTGCGAAAGCAGCTGGAGCAGTTTGCAGCGCGCACGAAGCGGTGCAGGAGGGAGGCGACGGCCCTCGCCAGGGAGCTCGGCTTCACCGAGTTTATCCGCGAGGCCTGACCTGAGGAGCGCCCCCCCCGAGCCGCGCCTTCTCTCGACTGCCCGCATAATTGTTCGGCCTCGCGCCGCGGACGACCCGCGCGCGTCGCTGGGACCCTCTCGGGGCGACCAGCGCGCGTCGCGGGGATTCCGCGCGGCGCTCTGCTCAGCGCCTCGCTCGCCCGTCGTCGCTCTGCCCAGCGGCCGGAGCCTTGCCCGCAATCAGCCGGCCGGCTAGCTCTCTGTGCTCCGCGCAGCGGACGACCTGCGCGCGTCGCTGGGACCCCTCCGCGGCGACCTGCGCGCGTCGCGGGGACTCCGCGCTGCTCTGCGCCCGCAGCCTTGGATTTTTGGAGCGCGCAGGCAAAGAGGGGGGAAAGGAAGGGACGGAAGCGGGTGCGATCCCCGTGAGGGGCGTGCCGACATGGGCGTCGCGGCGCGCGGGCGCTGCCGTCGGGGTTCCCGCGGAAGCTGCCTGCGGCGGCCACGCCCAGTGTCACAAGTGTTCGGACAGGCATGCTCGAGCCATTCACATTCATATACATTTACACTAGGCGTAGCCAAGATCGCACCCATGCAAATATACTCACTCCCACGCAGACCCATTCACACTCAGACTCTCTCGCGCTCTGGCTCACCCGCGTTCATTCTTTCGCAATATGACCTATCGTATTCCTTTGCGTTGTGTACCCCGCCATATTTCGGCATGCCCCTCATGCGGTTCGTGGCCCCATAGGGAGCGCCACCGAAGAAGGTACTCACAATTGCGGCACTCACAACTGCATACGGTTGGGTCTTTCGCCAGGATAATTTTTTGATTATTTTGGGCGTATTTTTCGCAGCGTTTTTTCCCGACCATCCTGTGGTGCTGGGTCCTCGTTGTCAAGAGACGGTGCCGCGCGTCTCCTCCTTCCTCCTCCTCCTCCTCCTCCTCCTCCTCCTCCTCCTCCTCCTCCTCCTCCTCATCCTCCTCCTTCTCCTCCTCCCTCCTCCTTGCGTTTCACACACCCAGTACAACGTTTCGTGGCCCCATGGGGAGCTCCACCGAAGGCCCCAGTGGCAGGGTTCGCATGGCGCGGCCTCGGGCCATTTCGGCACACCCTTCACGAGGATCGTGGCCCCATAGGGAGCTCCACCGAAGGCGCCAGTGGCAGGGTTCGCATGGCGGCCTCGGGCCATTTCGGCACACCCCTCACGAGGATCGTGGACCTATAGGGAGCTCCACCGAAGGCGCCAGTGGCAGGGTTCGCATGGCGGCCTCGGGCCATTTCGGCACACCCCTCACGAGGATCGTGGCCCCATAGGGAGCTCCACCGAAGGCGCCAGTGGCAGGGTTCGCATGGCGGCCTCGGGCCATTTCGGCACACCCCTCACGAGGATCGTGGCCCCATAGGGAGCTCCACCGAAGGCGCCAGTGGCAGGGTTCGCATGGCGGCCTCGGGCCATTTCGGCACACCCCTCACGAGGATCGTGGCCCCATAGGGAGCTCCACCGAAGGCACCAGTGGCAGGGTTCGCATGGCGGCCTCGGGCCATTTCGGCACACCCCTCACGAGGACCCCTCCACCGAACGCAGGGTTCGCATGGCGGCCTCGGGCCGCACACCCCTCACGAGGATCCCCATAGGGAGCTCCACCGAAGGCGTCAGTGGTAGGGTTCGCATGGCGGCCTCGGGCCATTTCGGCACACCCCTCACGAGGATCGTGGCCCCATAGGGAGCTCCACCGAAGGCGCTAGTGGCAGGATTCGCATTCGGCGAAGCTCCCTATGGGGCCGCGAAACGGTGCACTGGGTGGGTGAAAATACTAAATGAGGCGTGTGGGACGCACGCGGGCGGTTCCATTGTGGGCTTTGGTGGAGCTCCCCATTGGGCCGCGAAGCGTTGTAAAGGGTGGGTGGAAATGCCAAATTAGGTGTGGTGTGGGGGACGCATGCGGGCGGCCCCATTGGGGGCTTCGGTGGAGCTCCCTATGGGGCCACGAAACGCTGTACTGGGCCGGTGAAAATGCCAAATTGGGTGTGGGGGACGCATGCGGGCGGTCCTATTGGAGGCTTTGGTGGAGCTCCCTGTGGGGGACACATGCGGGCGGGCCCACTGGGGGTTTCGGTGAAGCTCCCTAAAGGCCACGAAGCGCTGTACTGGGCGGATGAAAATGCGAAGTTGGGCATGGTGGACGCACGCGGGCGGTCCCATTGGGGGCTTCGGTGGGGCTCCCTATGGGGCCACGGAGCGCTGTACTGGGTGGGTGACAGTGCCAAATCGGGTGCGGGGGACGCATGCGGACGGTCCCACTGGGGCCTTCGGTGGAGCTCCCTATGGGGCCACGAAGCGCTGTATTGGGTGGGTGACAATGCCAAGTTGGGTGTGGGGGACGCATGCGGGCGGTCCCACTGGGGGCTTCGGTGGGGCTTCCTCCCTTTGGGGTCACGAAACGCTGTGCTGGGTGGGTGAGAATGCCAAATTGGATGTGGGGGACGCATGTGGGCGGTCCCACTGGGGGCTTCGGTGGAGCTCCCTACGGGGTCACGAAGCGTTGTATTGGGTGGGTGACAATGGCAAATTGGGCGTGGGGGACGCATGCGGGCGCTCCCACTGGGGGCTTCGGTGGAGCTCCCTATGGGGCCACGAAGCGTTGCACTGTGAAAGTGAAAATGCCAAATTGGCTGTGGGGGACGCATGCGGGCGGTCCCACTGGGGGCTTCGGTGGAGCTCCGTATGGGGTCACGAAGCGCTGTACTGGGTGGGTGACAGTGCCAAATTGGGTGTGACGGACGCATGCGGGCGGTCCCACTGGGGGGTTCGGTGGAGCTCCCTATGGGGCCACGTACTGGATGGGTGAAAATGCCCAACTGGATGTGGGGACGCGTGTGGGCGGTACCACTGGGGGCTTCGGTGGAGCTCGCTATGGGGTCACGAAGCGTTGTATTGGGTGATGGAAAATGCCAAATTGGGCGTGGGGGACGCATGCGGGCGGTCCCACTGGGGGCTTCGGTGGAGCTCCCTATGGGGCCACGAAGCGCTGTACTGGGTGGGTGAAAATGTCAAATTGGGTGTGGGGGACGCATGCGGCCGGTCCCACTGGTGGCTCCGGTGGAACTCCCTATGGGGCCACGAAGCGCTGTATTGGGTGGGTGACAATGCCAAGTTGGGTGTGGGGGACGCATGCGGGCGGTCCCACTGGGGGTTTCGGTGGGGCTCCCTATGCGGCCACGGAGCGCTGTATTGGGTGGGTGAGAATGCCAAATTGGATGCGGGGGACGCATTCGGGAGCTCCTTATGGGGCCACGAAACGTGTGAGGGGTGTGCTGAAATGGGTGTGGGGGACGCATGCGGGCGGTCCCACTGGGGCCTTCGGTGGAGCTCCCTATGGGGCCACGAATCGTTGTAAGGGGTGTGTGCCAAATTGGGCGTGGAGGACGCATGCGGGCGGTCCCACTGGGGGTTTCGGTGGGGCTCCTTATGGGGCCACGAAGCGCTGTGCTGGGTGTGCCAAATTGGGTGTGGGCGACGCATGCGGGCGGTGGAGAGGAAGAGGGGGAGCAGGAGGAGAAGAGGAACGCGGGGACCGTCTTTTCAAAACGAGGACCCAACACCACAGGATGGTTGGGAACAAACAAACAAACAAAAAACGCATGTGTTCTCCTTGCACGCGAGCCTCGGCCACGTGCAGAGGGGGGTCAGGGGGAGGGGGCAAGGCTTCTTAGAAGCACCCCTGCTTCTCAGAGGGCACGGGCCTCGTCTGCAGGCGCAGGGCCGGCGCTTTCTGAGAGGCAGGCTTCTCTTGAGAAGTCTTCCCCCCTCCCCCTGCGCCCTCGTGCGCGCCGCCAAGAGCCGCCGCAACAATGAAAGGACTACGGGCTCTCGCGCTACGAGTACCCCGAGATGCAGGCCAAGGTCAGGCGGGCCAAAATTCCAGGAATACGAGAGGAGCCCGTGTCCAGAATCCAGGAGGGAGCCCCCCTGGGAAGGAAGGCCATGGAAATCTTGAGCCCCGTAATCGCGGATAAAAGGTGATGAGGGCGCGTGGGCTGCCTTGCTGGGGCCGCGGGGCTCGAGCGCCAATGTGAGGACGCCCGCCGAAAGCGCCCACCCTTTCCGAAGCCATGGGCCCGCCGCAGGCGGCATTGTTATTCAAAGCCATGTGGGTGGATCGCGGACGGGTCGCCGGAGAGTCGCGAGGCTCGAAAGCCAGCGCGGAGAAGACCCTCGCAGGCGCCGCTTCTCTTCAACACCAGCAGCCCCCCGCAGGCGGCGATCGTTTCTCGAAGCGATCGCGGGTGGCTCGCGGGTGGCTCGCGGGTGGGACGGGGGACGTCGCGGGGGGGGGGGGGGCCGCGAGTGCGTCGCGAGGTGTCGCGGGTGGGACGCAGGTGGGTCGCTGGACGGATCGCGGGGCGGGTCGCGGACGCGACGCAGGCGGGCCGCGGGCGGGCCGCGGGGCGGGCCGTGGGCCGCAGGACCCGCGCGCAGCCCACCGCCCCCGCCCAGAGCAGAGCAGGCGCAGGGCGCACGGGAGGAGCGTCCGCCCCCCTCGAGCCGAGGCGCGGGATCGGCACCCTCCTCCTCCGCCTCCTCCTCCTCCTCCTCCTCCTCCTCCTCCTCATCCTCCTCCTCCTCCTCTGCCCCGCCGACACGAGGGGCCACTGGCTGCGGCGAGCAGCGCGCTCAGGGCGAGGCCGCGTGCTGCGGCCGCGTGCTGCGCGCAGCCGCGGCAGCTCCGGAGAGAGCGACGTGGGCGGCGCGGAGGAGCGGGGCGTCCTGCGCGGGCATGGCCGCGCAGGCTGCCCCCGCGGGCGGTCGGGCGGGAGCGCCCTCGTGTGTCCTGCGCGGCGTGCCGCGGCGTCGGCCCGCGTAGGCTGCGGCGCGAGGTCGCCACGCCATCTCGCGTACAGTCGGGGCGCTGAATAAGGAACCCTTCTCGTTGGGGAGGGGCTCCGTGTTCCCTCATGGTTTCGCATTTTGCCTCAGATGTTCCTTGGATTTTCGATGGGAAGTCGAAGTTTAACTTCTGGAGAAAAGGGGCCTCGTTCCTTATTCAAGGTTCCTTACGTCAACACCCCGACGGTCATGCCCTTTTCTCTTCGGCGCTCACGTGGTGGACTTCGGGGCTTCAGGGCGCACGTCGGCAGAAGCAGGCGGGAACGGGCGTGGGCTCCCCAGGAAGGGCTGCTGCCAGAGCGCCCGCTGGTGTCGAGTTCGGCCGCTGTTGGGACCGTGCCAGGGTCGTGGGCCGGATACCTGTAAGGGGTGTTTCTGGGGGTCTCCTGGGAAGCCTCCCAGTGACTTTTGGAATACTGCTCGATGCGCGTTGGCGCCTCTTGGAATCCTGCGGGGGCGTCTTTCGGAGCTTCGTGGAGTTTCCTATTGGGGGCTTGCTGGCGGTCTCGGGTCATCTTCCGGGGAAGGGCTGGAGAAGTCGTTGTGACGTTCCTTTCTGTCGGGTTCGGCTATGGTTGGAACCATCTGGGGGTCTCTTGGGAGGCCTCTCGGGACATCTCGGAGGCATTTCTGACGCGTGGTGTGGTCTTGTGGGCTTTGTTTTTGAGGCCTCTTTAGGGCTTTGGGGCCTCTTGGAGCGTTTGGGGGGCCAACTCGCAGTTTTGGCGATCATCTGCAGTGGAAGCGCTCAAAAGTCATGTCGGGGTTCCTCTTGGTGGGACCTCTTGGGGCCCTCTTGGGAACTTGTTGGGCCCTCTTGGGGGCCCCCTGGGCCGTCACCGTGGAGGTCGTGGATGCCTGTCGGGGCCCTCCTAGAGGGCTCTTGCGAGCCTCTTGGGACTTCGTGGGGGCCCCTGGGGGCCTCCTGGGGGCCTCTTGTGAGCCTCGTTGGGGTCCCTAGGAGGCTTCCTGTGGGCCTTTTGGGGGCCTGCCTGCGGTTTTGCGGGTCATCTTGAGGCGGGGGGGTCGATATGTCAGGTCGTGTTCTACCTCTTGGGGCCCTCTTGGGGCCGTGCTGGGCTGTCTTGAGAGCCTATTGGGCAGTCTTGGAGATTAGTTTGGAGTCTATTGGGGAGTCTTGGGGCGGTCTTGAGGGCCTCTTGGGTCTTGTTGGAGCGTCGGCAGCCTGAATGGGCAAGAGCATTCAAATTCATCAAACATCAAATGGTAATCAATGATTTTGGCGTATTAGGGCCCTCTTGAATGGCCTCTTGGAGCCTTCTTGAGGCGTACTGGGGGCCTCTTGGGTCTATCGTGGGCTGTCTGTGTGGCCTCTTTGGGGCCGCATGGGCCGTCCCGACGCTGTCTAGGACCGTCTCAGGAGCGCCTGAAAATTGTAGGAAAATCGTGGTCCAGGCCCTCGAGAACTCTACAATCCGCGAAACCCGTAGACCTGCATGAGCCTTGGGGCACTCCGCTTCGTGCTGAAGGCACAGTGGCGCATCTATTTATCGGGACGACCAGCGGGACAACCAACCGGTCAACCATCGGGACAACAAGTCGACCTAGTCATTTGGAGGTGGCCTTGGCCGTCAGGACGGATGGCCACGTATACTCTATCTGTCGCTTGAGCCGTCAATTTCCTCTTAGTGAAAGGACTTGGCCGTCAACTCTCTCTTAGTGAAAGGATTTGGCCGTCAACTCTCCGAGTTGACAGCTGACGAACCCCCTTGACGACCTCCTTCTGAGTTGATTGCCGAACCCCCCGTGACGGCCTCCCTCCGAGTTGACGGACCCCCTTGACGGCCCCTTTCGCCGCACCCTCCGTCTCGACGAGCAACGCGTCGTGGCCGAGCTGATGGTTAACAGCAAATTCGGTTTTGATGAACAGAAAGTGTCGGGGCCGAGTTGACGGCTCCTCTCGTCTTGGCGAACGAAGTGTTGGAGCTGAATTGATGACTGTTCCCCTCCTAGCGAACGTAGTCTTGGGGCCGAGTTGACGTCTGAAGTGTCCGGGCGGAATTGACGACAGTTTTGGCCGCTTCTCCAGATGCAGTGTGGGCGCGCATCAAGAAACCGGATGTCTTTCGTCAGGGTGCCTTTGGTTTCTTCGTGCCGCGTGTTGCGCGATGGGTTCTCGCGGTTGCCAAGAAACTTTCGTGTCCAGGATCCCCTGGGTTTCTCCCCAGTTGCACTTCGGGCAATCAAACGGCCCGCTACCCCCAGGCGCCAAAGGCTCCTTGAGTTTTGTGCATCCTTGCGACAGTACATCACTTCCCGCGCACGCGGGCGAGCGCGCGCGCGCCCTGGCCTGATAGGGTTTGCATTGTCAGCATTGGCCGTGTATTGCCCAGAATACAAAAGTCGCTATGTTGGCCTGGAGAATAGAGTCAACCCTTAAGGGTGACCGATTGGATTTTGAAGTTAACATGGGCTCTTGTGTTTTTATTGTGGACAATACAGCACTCCCCGCGCATGTGGGTGCGCGCGCGTATGCGCGCGTACTCGCCGTGTGCCCTGGCCTGATAAGGTTTGCATTGTCAGAAAAGGTTCTGTCTTGTCCAGAATACAGAAGTCGTCATGTTGGCCTGGACACTAAAGTCCCCCCTAAACGGTGACGGGTTCGATTTTGAAGTTGACATGGGCTCTTTTGAAGGTTATCTGTTGTGGACAATACAGCACTCCTCGCGCACACAGCGCGCGCGCGCATGCGCGCGTACTCGCCGGGCACCCTAGCCTGCTAAGGTTTGCAATGCCAGCATAAAGTAGGTTATGTACTTTCCAGAATACAAAAAGTTGCCATGCTCGCTGGAAAACTAAAGTCAGTCCTTACTGATGACCAATTGGATATTGAAGTTAACATGTGCTCTGCTGAGTGTTTTCTAATGTGGGCAATGCAGCTCTCCCCGCGCACGTGGGCGCGCGCGTTTATGCGCGCGTACGCGCCGTGTGCCCTGGCCGGATAAGGTTTGCACTGTCAGCATTGATTCTGTATTGTCCAGGATACAAGCGTCGCTATGCTGGCCTGGACATTAAGGCAACCCTTAACGGTGACCGATTGGATTTTGAAGTTCACACGGGCTCTTGTGAATGTTTTTTGATTGTGGACAAAACAGCACTCCCCGCTCACGCGGGCGCGCGCGCATGCGCGCGTACGCGCCGTGTGCCCTTGCCGGATGAGGTTTGCACTGTCAGCATACATAGGTTCTGTTTTGGGCGCGGCCATTGGGCCTCGCCGACGCGCCCGTGCATTGCGCGCGCGGTTGCGCAGATCTTCGGTCGCGACAATAGGGCCCTGCCCGTGCGTCGCGCACGAGGGCGCGCCGATGCCTGGCCGTGGCCAAGGTTTCGCCCTTGCTTTCGCCGGCGCCTTTCTTGCGAGGGCGCGCGGGATCTGGGGCGCGGCCGTTGGGCCCCGCCCATGCGTTGCACGCGTGGGCGCCCAGATTTCGGCGCGCGACCACTGCGTTTCCGACGGGGGCCAGGCAGGGTCCAACCGCTACAACGCCTATTGGGTTCCTGGGGAGCGCGGCCCCTGGCCGAACAACGCGCCGCAAAAGCCGCGCAGCGCGACTATCTCGGGGCATCATGCACTTCGGTCGGCAAGCCGCTCGGCGACGACATTGTGAGATTACATGCGGCCAAGGCCTCCTGGGTTTCTTTGGCGACGCAACCCCGGGCAGGATGTGGCGCGGCGGGGGGTGCGGGGAAATTTAGCGGCCCGCCAATGCGCATTCGGCTTCTTGGAACCTTGGGACTGGCCGCCGGGCGTTAGCGGCGAGAGAATAGGTTGCGGGCTTTCGCGGGGCACCCGAGGATTTCCTTTGGCCGGGGGAACGCTGCCGCACCCCCGTGTAGTTTACATCCCAAATCGCCGCGAGTTTCTTCCCAAGCCGCGCTGGCGTATTCTATGAGCGCGGCCTGCTAAGAAAGTGCTCGGGCCAGGGCCTTTGGGTTTCTCCGTGTGACGCCGTCGGCTAAGAAACCCAAGCCCTGGAAAAGAAACTTTGCGGCTTTTCAGGGTTCGGTTTTTGCGCCCCCCGGCCTCTCCCCAGGCCCATGCTGCATCGGAGCCACCGGTGCGGCAGCGGCCCCGTCAAGAGCCAATCTTGGATGGGGACGGGGGGGGGGGGGTGCGACTTGGGGGGGCAGGGAGATGGACGAGGGAGGAGGTTGGAGGAGCAGGAGAACGGAGGATGGGGGAGAGATTGAAGAGGATGTGATGATGATGATGATGATGATGATGATGATGATGATGATGATGATGATGATGATGATGATGATGATGGTGATGATGATGGCGATGATGATGATGATGATGATGATGATGATGATGATGATGATTATGATGATGATGATGATGATGATGATGATGATGATGATGATGATGATGATAACGATGATGATGATGAGGAGGAGGAGGAGGAGGAGGAGGAGGAGGTAGGGGAAAGGACGGAGGATGCGTCGATCCGTCAAGGTTTTTCTTCCGAAGGGTTGTAGCTTGCCCAAACGCAAGGTCGGGAAGGCCTTCGACCTCCCGGGCCTGCGGGCGGGCGTGGCCTGGCATGACTTCGACAGCCGCCGTTCGCAGGAGGTTTCTGGGCCATGCCTCAGAGCCGCGAGGGAAGGAAACTGCGAGGGAGGAGGAGGAGGAGGAGAAAGAGGAGTATCAGCAGGAGGAGTTGGAGGAGGAGGAGGAGGACATTTATACTTTGAGCCACATGTATGTACATATACATGTATGTGTATATATATGCACATATATGCACATATACGTTTACACATACATGTATATATATACAGAAGTACATGCAGATACACATCTTCTACACACATGTACATACATGCATGCATGCATGCAATCATGCATGCATGCATGCACACCTACAGTCATACATACGTACATGCCTGTATACGTACATACACACATACATACATCTATATATATATACATATATATGCGTACATACAAACATGCATACATATATACATGCATACATGCATGCATGCATACATACATGCATACGTGCATACAATCATACACATACACACATACATGTCTACATACATACATGCATGTATGCATGCATGCAGGCAGGCATGCACATGTATACGTACACACAGACATGCAAACATACATACATGCGAACGTGCATACTTCGTGACTTACTTATGTGCTTACGTACGTACTCGCTTGTTTACCTACTTACATGTATACATTCATGCATACATACACGTATGAGCACGTGTGTACATATATGAATGAATGCATGCAAGGCTGCGTTGGCTCTTCGCGCCATGCACCTTGGTCCTTGAAGTTTGGCATGCTGGCGGAAGGGCAAGAAGTCAGATCAATGAGCGACAACTCCTTGTTGCCTTTTCTGGCATCGTCGTTTTGATAATGCGATCCATAATATGTATCTCATGATTCCTTGTCCAATTCCTCATTCTCGCCCTACCCTGCGAATTCTTCCCCATCCTCCTCGGCTCTTTTTGCGGAGGCTCCTCCTTGGAGAGCCTTTCGGAGGCCTCACTTCAGGCTTGGGGCCTTCTGGAGGCCTCCTAGGCGCCTCCTGGGCGCCTTCATGGAGCCTCTGGGGGCTTCCTCGGGGCACCCTTCTTCCAACCGCGGTCTCCCTGAACGACGGAGTCACGATTTGGAATGCTTCTGGAGGCGAATTGACGCCATCTTGGGCTGTCAGAGGATTCTCTTTGGGCCATCTTGGAACCCTGTTGTGCTGTCTTGGGGCTTCTTGGACTGCCCAGAAGCCCGTTCGGATAGTTTTGGGATGATTTTCGGGCCTCCTGGGCGGTCTCGAACGCCCGAAACGGAAGACCGAACAACAGCGCTTTCCCCAAATGGAAAAAAGCAGTGGGGGATCAATGCTTTTCCTGCGCTTCGAAAGCCTCTTGTGGATCTTCTTTAGGTCGTCTTCGGGCGTCTTGTGGGTGTCTGGGGCCCCCAGGGGTCCGCTCGGCCGCCCTCCTGAGCGATTTGGGCCCGTTGCCTAGGCCCAGCAGGGGCTTCATGAGCTCCTGAAAGCTCGGGGGGCTTCCTGCAGGGGCGTCCTGGAGGCCCCTGGCCACTGATCCGGGGGGTCCTGTTTTGGGGTGGGGGAGGGGGGGGAGGTGTTTCTTTCCCCCGGGCTTGTCGCGTTGTAGAAAACAGAGTCGACATATATACACATGTCAGGTTTGCCAGCGTGGACCCCGATCTGGAAGCAATGTCATTCTGGGTGGACACACGTCTCTGCGGTCGTTGATTTCAACAGCAAGCATGCATCCCCGGGACCCCCACAGGCGATCCCCTGTGGGGGTTCCCCTCCTCCTTTTTTTCCTCCTCTTTGTTTTTTCTTCTCAATCCTCCTCTTTTTTTTCCTCCTCCTTTGTTGGGGGGCAATGGCCGGTACCCGGCTGGAACATGGCGAATTCCCTGGGAGGCCCCTGGCTGGGACGTGGCGAAGCCTCGGGGCCTTCCCGCAGGCGGCCACGACCGGCATGGGGCGGCAACGGGCCAAAAACGTGGCGAAGCCGTTGGACTATTGTGCGACTTCCTATGGGTAAGCACTGTTTGGCCAGTATGTGTGCTGGCGTGTGTGTATGTGTGTGCGCGTGTATGTTTCTATTCAGCTGTGCAAACATGCATACATACCTACACGCAAGCGCATGCATGCATGCATGCATGCATGCATACATACATACATACATACATATGGTTATATATATACATATACATACAAGCATACATGCATACATGCATACATGCATACATGCATACATACATACATACATACATACATACATACATACTTACATACACACATACACACATACATATATATACACACATACGTACATACATACATGCATACACACATGCATACATACACACATACAACCATACCTATATACGTACGTACGTACGTACGTACGTACGTACGTACTTACGTACGTACATACATGCATGCATGCATGCATACATACATACACACATACATGCATACATGCATACATACGTACGCACATACATATATATATATATATGTATTGACACAGTGTGCGAGTGGATATTCGTGTATCAATATGTGTATATACACGTACACCTGTCTAGGTGGATTGTATACATCCCCGGGACGAAAGTTTTTTCCTTTTGGGTTCGGAACGACGGTGTGAAGTCTTGAGCAGACCCGTATGAGATAGCCACCGTCGGATCCCATGAAGTTCGCGCGGATCCAAATGTGGCTTTGGTGTTGTTTCGGTGGATCCGATTTCCGTCCGTACGGATCCGATTTCGGATTAGCTGGATCCGTGTCCGGTCTTATTTCTTACGGCGGATCCGATTGCTACCCTGTTTAAAATTTATATTATGAATTAAACCAGGGGACCGGAAGAAATCGGATCCGCGGACCCCGCAAACCGCCCGTGTTAAGATTCTATGGGGGAGGGGGGTTGGGTAATCAACTTTCCACGATGGGCCCTGCGTCGTCTCGCGCACTCCCATCACCTCCCCGCGCGAGCGGGCCCCATTCAACATGAATACGTACATCCCTCCCCCCCCCGGTTGCTGCAAACAGCTCGTCCGGTCGCCGTCCGTTCGGCGGCGCCGACGTTGTCTCATTCAACATGAATACGCACATCCTTCCCCCCCCGGTTGCTGCAAACAGCTCGTCCGGTCGCCGTCCGTTCGGCGGCGCCGACGTTGTCTCGCGAATGCCTCATGGCCATTTTCACCTCAAGAGGAAAATCTTTCGTCCTGCGTAAGTATGTACGAACACATGAGATATCCCACATAGCTTCGTCGCGCCACCACGAGGAGGAGGAGCAGCAGGAGGAGGAGGAGGATGAGGATCAGTTACGCGCAGAAGGGGGGTGGGGGAAGGGGGGAGGGCTTCGTAGAAGCACCCCTGCTTCTTAGAAGGCGCGGGCCTTACAGCAAGATGTAAGGCTGGTGGCTTCTCAGAAGCAGCCTCATTCTGAGAAGCCCTCCCCCCTCCCTGCACCCCCTTGTGCGCGCCGCCAAGAGGAGGAGAAGGAGAAGCAGGAGGAGGAGGAGTCATTTCGGAGCTTTTCATTCCCTACTTAGGCTCTGCCTAGAAGGGTTCTTACTCGGTTAGCTTAATGGGCCGGGCAGTGCACAGCGCCCCGTGCGGTTCCCCCAGTCCCCTGGGAGCCAAGCAAAAGCAACAGCAAAGGTAAAAGCAAACGCGTGGTTCCCCCAGTTGCGTTCCCTGGGTGCCAAGCAAAAGCAAAAACAAAAGCAAAAGTGAAGGCAAAAGCGAAGGCAAAGCAAAAGCAAAAACATCGCATAGCATAGCATAGCGCAGCATAGCATAGCGCAGCATAGCATAGCCTAGCCTAGCCTAGCCGAGCCTAGCCTAACCCAGCATATCATTGCGCAGCATAGCAGAGCAGAGCAGAGCAGAGCAGAGCAGAGCATAGCATAGCATCGCATAGCGCAGCACATCATCCACTATTGCTGCTGCTACATATATATAGAGAGATATACACGTATGTACTTATATATGTGTGTGTGTGCGCACGTATGTTCCATGCATGTTGTTCGTCTGTGGGCCATCTTGAGCCCTTAGTGGGGCAGCTTGAGCCTTTAGGATTCACGAAGGTTTCGCACATAGCACCGGCCGGGAGACATGAAACCCGACGTATTATCGCATGTCCTAAATGTATTTCTATCTATGCAAGTACATGTGTATACATACATAACGCCCATGTGGAATGCTGCATGTGTGTGTGTGTGTTCGTGTGTGTGCATGTATGTTTACTATTCGTTATTCGACACAGGCCCTGCGCGCCAAGAGTGGCTCGGGCGACTCCACGACAGCGGGGGGGTTGTGGTCACACCACTCTGGTGAAACCGCATATTCCAGCGCCGATGATGCCCGCCGAAACAGTGATGAACAGTTTGTTGCACCGATCTGGGAGTTGCAGCTGCTGTGCAGTTTCGTAGGAACGTTCGGTGTAGCAAGTGTTGCACAACCTTGCTCAATGCCAAGTCGTGCGGTGTAGGCCAAAGCAAACGCAAAAGTAAAGGCAAGAGCAAAAGCAAAGGCAATGCAAAGCAAGAACAAAACCAATGCGAACTTGTAGATGTAGATGTAGATGTAGATGTAGGTGTAGGTGTAGATGTGGATGTAGGTGTAACATTAGATGTAGATGTAGGTGTAGATGTAGGTGTAGACGTGAGTCTCGCTGTCGATGTAGATGTAGATGCAGGTGTAGATGTCGCTGTAGGTGTAGATGTAGACGTAGGTCTAGATGCATATGTAGGTGCCGATGTAGATGTAGGTGTAGATCTAGATGTAGATGGAAAGAACTCCCCAGTGCCCCGCCCTCATCTCCGTGCCTGCTTGCTTTTGCTGCTGTCTCGGCGACATGCTGCCTGCTTCTGCTGCTGCTTCACTTAGGCGTGGCGTCGGCGGTTCTGGCGCTACTACTACTACTACTACTACTACTACTACTACTACTACTACTACTACTACTACTACTACTACTACTATTACTACTACTTCTACTACTACTACTACTACTACTACTACTACTACTACTACTACTACTACTACTACTACTACTACTACT